GCAGAGATGGGCATCTATAAGTCCGAAGGCAGCCTGGTCTACAAAGTGAGTTCCAGGACAGTCAGAGGTACACAGAAAAACCCTGTCTTTAAAAGAGGGAGGGACAGAAGGAGGGAGGGGTGAAGGGAGGGAGGGAGGGATGGAGAAAGGGAGAAAGAGAGAGAGAGAGAAGGAGAGAGGGAGGGGAGATCTGTTCATAAAAATATAAATAGGTTAGGTCGCAGACCAGAAAGAGTATATGCAGGATTAACCTGACATATAGAATGAATTTCTACAAGTTAATAGGAAGAAAGTTCTGATTTATATGGACAGTGATCTGAAGAGGTAACTGGGAGGAAGGCAATCAGGGGACCAATACACACCAAGTGTCCCACATCATTCATCGTCAGGGCAAAGAAAGCTCCAAACCGCAACAAGCATCCACTGGAAACGGTAGCATTAAATGTGAACACTTGCTAAGGACACAGATCAACTAGAACACCCACCCAGACACTGTTGTTAAATGGTGTAAGCATTTTGGAAAAGCATACAGTGAGTAGGTTTTTGTTTGTTTGTTTAATAAATCCAAACATGACCCACCACACCTTTTCCTAAATTATTCACCAAAAAGAAAATCACATTTAACAAGAGTTGTGCAAAAGATGTTCTTAATTATTTAAAACAGCCCAAGTTAGAAACAGCTCCAACATAAATCAGTAGGATGACTACCACAGTACAGTAGAACACTATGAGGAAACTAAAAAGGAATGAACTACTGACAAACACATGGTACAAACATCTAGAAATGTGTTGTTTCTAAGACATCTACACGAAAGAGGAACTAGCACATTTCATTCATATTATGTCCAATGGGGGTGGCACTAACCAGTTATTAATTCCCTGGGGTCCTTGCCTATTCACTCTTTGGTTAGGAGTGCACAGCCGTTGGCATTTGTTTAAACTCAGGTTAAGGGGCTGGGGAGATGGTGTCACTGATTCAGTATCTGCTGTGAGAACCAAAGTTTGGATCTTCAGCACCTGTGTAAAGAGCTGCAATGTCCACACAGGGATCACAGGCGAAGCCCCGAGGCTCACTAAACAGTATAGTCACGCCAGGGAGGTCCAGGTTAAGGGAGAGACCCTAAACGGGGGACTAGGGCAGTGGGACAGCTCAGGGATAAGGGTGCTTACTGCCAAGGCTGAACCTGAGTCCACTCCTTCACCGACTTGTTAGATGAGAACAGATTTGTGGAAGTTGTGCTCTGACCTCTAAACAGGTCAAGGCACTCCCGTGCCCACACATACACACACTGAACAAAATGTGGCTTTGTGTTAGTAAGGTAGAAAACACCCAATGCTGACTTCTACCCTCCACACGCCCACCTGCACAGGCTCAGGGAGAAACCCAACAGTGTGTGGACACTTACAAATTGTGCATTTTATTGTATGCAAATTTTGTTTTTAAATGGACAGTAAGAATAAATTGTGTTAGCTAAGCACATATTAGTTGCACATGGCTGCAATCACAGTGCACCAGAGACAAGGATGACAGGAACTAGAGTTAAGGACAGCCTGCACTAACAGCACAAGTTCCAGGCCAGCCTGGACTAGTAAATACTTACATTTTTTTAAAAAAGCATCAATTATTTTAAATGATACAGTGCAATTGTCTTATTAAGAAAACAAATTCAGGAAATCGAGTTAATGAAGAAACAGTATGAGTGCTTGCCTTGTTCCATGGTACCCTGTTAAGGAGCAATTCTAACAGTTTCATTCTAACAGACATCCTGACTCTCACTGTCTAAGTTCTGCCTAATATCCCTTCATTACCTTTATCCCCACGGGAACACACGTTTCCCTTCTTGACCACTAGAATGTAAACTCCATGTCAGCAGGAGTCTTGTGTTCTGTATCTTCAGAATCTAGGAGTCTTGACCTAAGCTGGCACTTAATATTTGCTGAATAAGCAAACAAACATGCCTAAAATATGACTTAGACCTAGGGCAAACACCATAAAGGGCTTTATATCAGTGGAAGGAGAGCATTTTTATTTTGTTATTACAAATAAGGGGTGTTTTTCTGATCAGTTTCCCCTCCCTTATCTCCTGCCAAAAATCTCTCTATATTACCACTCTTCCAATGTGTCTTCTTTCTGCCTTTAGAAGATAAATAGGAAAAGAAAAAAAAAAGAAAGAAATACAACACACACCTTTAAAAACACAAAATCAAAAACCATAATATACAATCAAAAGGTTAAAAAATAAATAAAAAAATGAAAAAGTGACCAAAGAAGGCAATATGAGACAAAATAAAATAAAATCTCCCAAAATATCATTGAGTTGTTCGTGTTGGCCATCTAGTCTTGGCATGGGGCCTGCCCTTAAATGTGTCTGTACAGCCAGTGGGGCTCCACTGGCAAAAACTACCTTTTCTTTTGCAAGGGGTTGCCAAATGGAAACAGCCTCTGAGTTAGGGATGGAGCCTTGCGTCTACTTCCCCTCTCAGCATTGGGACCCCATGTGGCTTACACCTGTGCAGGCCCTCTGCATTCATGTCTCTGAATTCATGTGTGTGTCTGTCATGTTCTGTCTGGAAGGCAGTTTTCTTGTGGTCATCCATTCCCTCTGGCTTTTACAATCTTTCTGCCTCCTCTTCCCAAAATGTTTTTAAACACGATTCAGTTTCCAACATTCTGCTCACTTGGCAACCAACTTGTGGCTTGAAGTGGATGTTTACCTTTATTTTTTCCTTAAGTATATTTTAAGCAGTGCTTTGGCTGAAACAGACAACAGCTACACACACAAATGCCCCTCTCTTCACTGCTCCACATCTTTTCAGGTTATGCCCACTGGAAAGACACTGATCAGAGTTTCTCACTGAAATCCATCGACCCCACGTATCTGGTCTCTCTCCCTTACTTTGTGGGTAAGGAAGAATAAAGAATGTGGTAGCTCAGTTTGGAACTATTTCGGCACATTCTGCTATTGGCTGGATCACGGAAGTCAGGGGCCTGAGTTCTTGCAGCTTTCCTGTCTCTTCTCTACTTTTTATTTTAAGGTCTACCAGGTCCTGCCATCATTCAGGTCACCTCTGACTGGGCTGTGTGAAGTGGACCTATGGACCACAGCCATGCTTCCTGGTAGTTAAGGAGTAAGGAGATGGTCTCCTGGTCACCTGAGCAGATTTGTGGTGGGGAGTTTCAAGCCTAATCCATATTCTCCAGTACAGTTAAGAACGCTGAACTGAGGGATCTCGGACATCTGCACAGCCTGATGAAGTCTGTACCATGCCCCCTTCACACTGTGGTCATTAAGTGTATTATAGAGACAAAACAACAACTCCAAACGCCTTCCTCCAAACAATACAAAAGAAAAACAAGGTGTACTCCTCTAGTGCTAACGTACTTATTTTAATGAATTTCTTTTTTAACACAAATGTAAAACAAGATTCTATTGTAACTACAGCTAAATTCAAACTTCAGAACTGACCAATAGTAACGTGTTCATTTTGCAAAGCTTTTGACTACAGATTATCAAATATATTACACAGAATTCAATTTAGTGCTTTCTGTCACAATGTTAAAAATAAACATTTTCTAATATCAGGTTATCAAAAATGGCCCACCCCAAATCCTTTATTTAAGCAATAAAAGTATAAAACCTGCTAATGTGCCATATTTGTCAAAGATTAAAAGGAAAACTTTACATCTTGAATGTCATTTAAGTGCTTCTCAGCCAACCAGAAATATCTAATATAGGCAGCAGGTTCCTATTCTTGGTATAAACTCATACCACAGAATTTTAATGCTATAACGGGACTTTAAACACCAAATAAAGCAAATAAATCTATCATGTAGTACATTTTCTTGTTTGCTTTCATTTTGTCAGTGAGAAACCAGATTTAATGCCGTATTACTGCATTCAAGTAGTCTACCACGTGAGGCTAGGTTCTACGGTTCAAACCAAGGGTGCAAAGGCGATTCTCGTGAGGGCTGAACACTTCCACATGAAAGTAGTTTTCATTTAAGATAAAACTAGCAATATGTGTACATGTCTGTTAAATGAAGATACCCATATGTGAACTCTCTAGAGACCGTCAAATGAAGCCCTGAAGCTCAGGTACAGAAGGAGAGGTTTTCAGCCATGACAGGACTTTTTGCTGAGTCACAGACATGCACCAGCATATTCAGAACAACTGAGGCAGGAGGAACATGTAGCACATGAAATCTCCAGCTGATGACACAGGGGAAGGACAGAGACAACCCAGGTTCCAAACACACAATAAAACACAGGATTACTAACAACAAAAACCTCTCACCCCTAGCCTGGCATGGTGGCCCATGCCCTTAATCCCAGCACTTGGGAAGCAGAGGTAGGAGGATATTTGAGGCCAGCCTAGGGCTACAGAGTGAGATTGGTATTGCAAAAAGAAAAAGATCTACACAAATTGGAACCCTGCTTTTCTGAGGAGAAAGTGGTTTTTAAAACAAGAGCATGAAAAAACTTCAAACTGAGACTCAAATTAACAGTGTGATCACACTGAAAAATAATACTTGAAACTAAAATAAATTAAATTTCAGGTACTTTTAATGTGGGAAAGATATAAAAACAAATTTATACACCAAATGTACACTATCAATTTATTTTCAGTTAAAAATTATTTAGGAAAAAAAATCTCCATGTTCCAAATTAAATAGGAACTGTCTCCTATATACAGGAATTATACTGGAAATATGAAGTAAAAGTTTAATTCTGCAGAATTAGAACACAATTAGAATCATTCAAAAAGTGAAAAAAAAATACTGAATTTTATAAGTGTCAAAGCCTTTGAATTTTGCAGTAACAAGTGAACTTTTTCTAACATTTAAAAAAATTATCCTTTTATCAATATAAAACTATTCAAGTAATTAGGAGAATCTCTTATACCAGAAAAATGAATTCACATGATCCACTCGTGACTCCAAGAGTTAACAATTAACAGAGCGGTGTCCCTGAAATAAGGCATTTCTTCCTTTTTGTCTCCTCTATCCTTACAGATAAGCTTATTTCACATCATTTACATAGAAATACCACCACACTCTACTAGGAAAGTAACTCTCCCTTTTTGCCTCCCAAGCATAGGTAAAATGGTCAGTCTTCTTTCTTGGCATGCCTCTTAGCAGTGTCCGTATCCTCTATGGTGGGCTTAGACACTGATGAGGCAGTGCCATTGGAAGATGGTTTCTCTTCCGGTTTCTTCTCACTCAATGAAAACTGCTGCTGCCAACCAAACAGCATCCGGCTCAAGGTATCCTCAAAGGGAGCAAGGGTCACCGTGGAATCCTTTGTTATCATCATGGTTATCTAGGAAAAATAAAATGTGAATTTCAGTACACTTCCTGTTTCTCAAAGGTGAGGCAGAAAAACAAATAATGGACCAAGAGTCAAGTGTGCTCTGTGTTTAATCTACATGAAAAATATAAGCTCAATACTGGGGAAATCACTGATTGCTATGAATTTAAAGAGTATTATTCATCAAAAGTAATACCAGGCACATTGCCATGTACCTTGTATACCAAATGAAGTCTAACCATTGCTACAAAAAGAAAGGAAGAAAGAAAAGAAGGTGAGAGAGAGAGAAGTCAAAGGAAATAAGATAAAATATTATCTACAGGCTACAACCTGTAGCAGCAACCAATACAGTTGTCATTACTATACATCTGGCTTGGGTCAAGACTGTGGTAAATACACTCATCTCCACTTTCAATTTAACGCAACAATCACTGCTGCCTGCCTTCGCCACGGAGCAGTTGTGGCTCTGACAGGTGGGCAACTTGCCCCAAACTGAAAGGTTAGTTAAGTGGTAAGCAGGATGCAGGTTTGCAGTTCGATCACTACTTAACAGCATACTGTTGTCCACAGTTGCAGATAAATGTTCAGCAGCTGTGGAGTATTTCCCTAAGAGAGGTCACATAAGGCACAAGCATATATGCAGGCAAAACACACACACATAAAATAAAATAATAAAAAAACTTAAGCCTATGTGAATTTTACCCAATAATACATTCCTATTTCACATGTTTAAAATTAATTACCATTGAGATCAATTAATGATAAGAAAATTTATCACACTTATAATATTAGTTTTTTGTTGTTTTTTTTTTGTTTTGTTTTGTTTTGTTACAAACAATGCAGAAGACACACTTCTCTTGGGACATGTGTAAGCCTAGTTCAAGAAACAAAGACTTGTTCAGAACTGCAAAGCCTCCATTTCAACACAAGTCTCTGGGTCTACAGCACTTGAGGGCTCTCTCTGCTGATGATCTTTCCCATTTATTTTGTTTCCCTGTGGCTTAGCGATCATAAAGTATTTGAGATAATAACAAAAGTATGTGACTTCCCCTTTAGGGAAACTGGTTGAGCATGGATGAATGTTCAGCTTGCTTGAGTTCTAGGTGAAAAGAAGGAAACTGCAGGGAAGAGATGGAAGAAGGAAAGGAGAAAAGGGAGACAGTTCACATATTTCTCTCAAGAAACAAGAGAACCACAAGTAGAGGAAGGAAAACATTCGCTTTTGTATATTCAAACCAGAATGAGCAAGTATATTTGCAAATACATGTGACTTGCTCTACCTCCAAACTTAAGAACATATTATTCTTCACAAAACAAAAAGGAGTATCAACTTACACTGTACCCCACTTTTACAAACAAGGCAGGCCTACCTGTACAGCCTCTGATTCCCTCCCTACCCTCCATTGTTCTCTGGCTTCCCATAAGCCACTGCCTGTCCTGTCCAATCGCAAACATCTCCTGATGGCAAATGAAGAACCCGCAGAAGAGCTTCTGCAAATTTTGAAGTATAGAGCAAACTCTCCCAAGGCCATCTTTTTATACCAACAATATAAAAGCAAGTGTGCTTGGTACTAGTTTAGCCTAAAGGACTTCATCACAGAGAAATGCTTATACAGGATTTGTAATGCTGACTGGAGGACCTGGAACCTTCTTACCTTTATGGTCACGAGAAACATGGTATAAAGAAACATGAGATCATGCTTTGACATCGCCAGATGATTGGTGTGCTGTAAAGTGAAGATGATTGACCCCAGCAGTGTCACCTTGGCAGGGCTGAAAGGAAATAACACTCAACATCAGTGACAAACACACTCTGCCTACAATTTTCTCAGAGTGCTCTGTAAGCATCAACTTAATGTGCTGTTAACACAAAATGAGCTGGGTGAATATATTTTTAAAGTTTCAGAAATACTGAGTTATATAAACTTTAAAACCTTTCCTCATAGCATAAAGAATTAAGAGATATTTTTGGGGGTTTTACAGACTTTGTGTGTGTGACTTGCAGAGGCCAGGAGAGGGCATCAGAATAGAGCTGCAGACACCTTGGAGCAGTCTGACTTGGGTGCTGGAAACCAAACTCAGCCAGCCCCTCTGAAAGACCACTGTCTGGCTAGCTCCATGTCAACTTGATACACGCTAGAACTATCTGAACCGAGGGGACCTCAATGAGAAAATGCCTCCTTGAGATCCAGCTGGAGGGCATCTTCTCAATTAGTGATTGATGGAGGAGGGCCCAGCCCATTGTGGCTGATAGCACTCAAGGCCCAGTAGTCCTGAATTCTATAAGTAAGCATGCTGAACAAGCCAGGGGAAGCAAGTATAAACACCACCCCTCCATGGCCTCTGCATCAGTTCCTGTCTTCACATCCCCCCTGCCCTATCTGAGTCCCTGTCCTGACTTCCTTTGATGATGACCAGTACTGTGGAAGTACAAACCAAATAAACTCTTTCCTCCCCCAAGTGTCCTTGGTCATAGTGTTTCACCAGCAATAGTTATGCTAAGATATGCACCAAGCATTCCTGACCACTGAGATCCACCTGCCTCTGCTTCCTGAGTGCTGGGATTAAAGGTGTGTGCCACCAATGCCTGGCTCAGCAGCAGTATTTTTATCTTACACACTTATGAACTTCAGGTATCTCAGTAAAGATCTCTGATAAACTATGAGAATGCTGTGCTGCAAAAATAACAAGGGATTTTTATAAGCCAGATTATTTTTTTAAGTTATTTAAGTATTATAAACTGAGGATTTGGTTCAAAACAGGATAAGATCCAGACTTCACATAATAATATAATTAAATAACAATAGTGTCTTGTAATAGTGATTTTTCAACTTTATTGTTTATTCCTATTGCTTTTAATATTTTGGGACAATTATTAACATTAATATATTTATATATATATTGATATATAAAACTATGTTATAAGATATACACAAACTTGAACATTTAAAAGTATAAAACAGAAGGCAAATGAGGGGCTGTGGAAATGGCTCAGTGGGTAGAGCACTTGGTAGAGAGTAAAGGCCACACTGGATCCCTGGGACCTATAAAAGTCTGCCAGTAGGCAGAGAATTCCCTGGGGCAGGGTAACTAGCCAGGATGCCTGAAACAGTGAGCTCCATGATCATGAAAGACCCCACAATATACAAGGTGGAGACATATCAATGAAAATATCTGACATTAGCACAAACATGCACCAGTATACACACGAGCCTGCACCTGTGAACACACATACACACACACACACACACACACACACACACACACATATATGACCCCCCCTTTCCCATGGAAGTAGATTTATCTTTATGTTATTTTGTTGCTCTAATCGGTTGGTTCCTGCGCTAAAGTAGGTCATTAAGGAAAGGGCTTTGACATACACACAAACCATTTTGGGTTATATTTCCTTAAAGAGTGACTCTAAAAAATAAGCAGTGTATAGATAATTGGGAAAGGACATTGGAGAAGATTTAAATCAAGGTATTAGATTTGTTATGAAGATTGAGAAGCACTGGGAAATTTTATCACATCTCCTTCCAAAATACCATGGTGGAGCAGATGTTGGCTAACAGGCTCTCCTTCCAAAGGGAAGGACAGGGCCCTGGCACCAAGACATTTCAAAATCCAGCAGGTAAGTTCCACTGGGGTTTCAGGACTATGGTTGCATGCACCAGGCTCTAATCTCATACAGCATGGCTTTGGCCTCTGTACTTCAACTGTAGCCTGTGAGCCTGGCCTATCATGCTCCCCACTCCATCCTCAAAACTACATTTCTCTTTTCTTGGTCTCTTTCCTAGTTTCAGGACCTATTTATTTCCTACTCATCCCCCTACATCATATGTACAAAAAGCTAGGATCTGCATATGAGGTAGAACACATACATACTGTATGTCTAAGTAGGTGTTGTTGTTGTTATGATATGTATGGGTGCTTTGTATGTGTGCATATACTGTGTATCATGTGTGCCTAGTGTCTATAGAGGTCAGATGAGGACATCAGACCCAATGAAACTGGATTTATAAAACATTTTGAGGTATCACATGGGTGCCAGGAACTGAACCTGGATCCTCAGTAAGAGCAGCAAGTGATCTTACCCACTGAGAAAGCTCTCCACAGTAAACTCTTACACTGAATCTGCTGGCTTTCTTCCTATTGTGCTTGCCATTTGCTTCTCAGGTATATTCCAGCTGCATACACAGTTCCAAAAATGTTTATCTAAGGCTGTAAGCCCAGATTTCAGTATAATCTATATCACTTACAAGGACAACTTCAGCCACTCATCACCTTCTGGTTTCCAATCTCCTTTTAGAAACTCTTCACAAGATGTGACAATAACACCACCTGCCCCTAAAAAGAAAAACAAAACAAAACAAAACAAAAACAAAAACATTGAACCAATTTTCTTTAAAAAAAAAAAAAAAAAAATACATGGCAGGGGAAGTCAAAATTTCTGCTCCTGGTTTAAAATCCAGGATTACCAGAATGGGATTCCTGAGAGAAAGAAAAAGTTGTCTTTTGTGTACTGAGATCTGAGACAATGGCATTCTCTATCCCCAGCATGACATTACCTATCTAACTATGATCTAAGGTTAATGCTGGAATCTCAAGCACAGAGAGAATTATTGTGTGAAAAGTAAGATCCTCTCTTTCTAGTTCTTTCCTTGATATGGTTAGTTTTAGGTGCAGCATACTGTAACAGAGGTTACAGAAATCTGTTCAGTTCTTTACATACAACAACTAGGTTAGTGACATAGCTCAGTTGGTAGGAACAATTGTGTAGCATGCATCAAGCCCCAACAATGCATAAACCAGGCATGGTAGTATTTTCCTGTGATCCAGCACTCAGGAGGGAGAGGCAGTACAGTCACAAGTTCAAGGTCATCCTCAACTACATAGTCTACCTAGTCTCAAAAGAAGAGAGAATAAAATAAATATAAACCAGTTAGAACAGTATTAATATGAATATTTGCTATTTCCAACAACTCATGAAAATGAAAAGAATATAAATTTCTTTTTCATTTTTAGACAGGGTCTTTCTATGTAGCCTAGGCTGGCCTAGAAATTACTGTGTAGCTCAACCTGGTTTCAGACTTGTGACCTCTTGCCTCAGCCTCCCAAGTGCTAAGATTATAAGTGTGCACCACCATGCCCAGCCTCAGCAATGTTTTTTAATTTATATGAGCCACAAAATTTCTTATTAAACTTATTTATGGCAAAATAATTAATTATGATTCCATATGGTTCAAGGGTACCTAAAGCAATTATTCATAAGAAACTTTACAAGGCCATCAGGCTCAGAACAATAGATTATCAATAATACCTGAAGTAACTTTTAAATTAACTTGAATGGTTAAAAAAGACAAGGCTTCTACCTTCCAAAAAGATTGTAATGCCAAAAGTATGTGATCCTTAAGCAGAGAGGTATTCAGGAGTTACAGCACATCAATAACAATACTTATGAACACATATTATTAACATTACCTCGGGCCCATCCAACAGCTATCATGACTATCCAGCCATTTCTGTAATAGCTATTAGCATGTGTGACTCCACCTACGATTTTCCAAGTTCTGGTCACCTCCTTCATTCCCGCAGCCAGGAGTTGAATAGGTAGATATGAATAGCCCTGGGAAACTAGGTCACGTGGGCAAAAAAATACAATATACCTGAAATTAAAATTTAAATATTTTAACATGTAAATAACACCAGAAGAATAGAAGTGGCGATCTAAACCATCATCACTAACAACATGGCATAACACAAAGAGTGCAATTATCCATAAAAGCCTGGAATGCAATTTCAAAAGAATCACATTGAACACAAAGTTGTTTCTTAACTCACATAAAACATATATAATGTGTCTATGCCATGATGAGGGAAAGGACTCACACACTTTGCAATACTCCATACAGTTCTTAATTTACCCATACAGTTTTAGAACAGATAGGTACATAATATATTAAAGAAAGGAAGTAAGTGTATCATCAGTTCCAGCGGGTATGGGCTATGACCATTTAGTGTCTTTGTTCTTAGGGAAAAGGAATTAGACAAAGGAGCCTTTTGGTAAATGCACTAAGGTTGCATTTCAGCTCCTATTAACATGTTTGTTTTGTTTTGTTTTGTTTTGTTTTTCAAGACAGAGTTTCTCTGTGAAACTGTCCTGGCTGTCCTGAAACTCACACAGTAGAGCAAGCTGACCTCGAATGCACAGAGATCCACCTGCCTCTGCCTCCTGAGTTCTTGGACTAACGGCATGCGCCATCAACTCAACTGCTACTAACATCTTGACCTGTGTCCGTAAAACCTATACAAAGATAGAGCATCTCACAAGGAAATGGGTTTATGCTATGGAAAAATGCATCTTCATGCAGCTGAAAGAATATGAAGCTCAAGCTTTAATTTGGCCAATGTTTTAGCCAATGAAGTGGTTGCTGGTTTAAGACCCTTCGCCCACTCCCTGGTGAATCACAGGTTTCAGACTTCACTTGTTCACTGGCATCTCCTCAGATACTGCCAGCAGCATTTACTGGGAACTCTGCTGTCTTTCTTTCCAATACAGCACGTCAGATCTTCTTCTAATGGGGTGATAAAGAGCACACAGAGGGAAAGGATGCTGGGGCTCTTTTCAAAGCAAGAGTTAACGTCATTCCAATGCTTGAGTCATAAACGCAACACCGCCAAGTGTATTCACAGAATATGAAATATGTGTCAAGGCACTGTTCCAGAAACCTAACATAAGAAGCAATGGTTTGATCAACTTCCATGTTCCTTCTTCCCCCTCCTCCTCTTCTTCATCTTCTTCTTCAAACACCTCTATATCCATGGCCCCTGGAAAGTGTTTCATTTCTTCTCAGCTCACACAAGCTATACAATTGAAGCAGTTGGCTGCTGTGCCTCAAAATGGCTTTTTCTACATTGTTCTTTCCAATATAATGTAAAGGCCATAGTGCTCATAAGTAGATTACACTGTGGCTGGATGACAGGACCCCTGCATCTTATCAGCTGTCCTCTAACCAAACACTCAGCATGAGGACAAACAGCTCTGAACTGTTCATTAGCATTCAACCTGGAGGTAAAATACAAAACACTTCGAAGAACCACTTGATAGCTACATTGTCTGAAAGAAAGAGATGAAGTACCTGCTGACAATTTTATGTTACCTCAGATAAGATTTTACATTTAAAATTTTGACATGAACATATAATCTTTTCAAAGTCTTTAAAAGTAGAAGTGATTTACAGGAAGTTAGACAATGGACAGAAAAGGCATATATATCTAAATAATAAATTGTATATATATTCTTAATGAAAGTAAGCAATACTTTGGTATCTACTAGAGATTAGATTAAGAACAGACCCTGTAGTTTTACTTTAGCAGCAATTCATGCTTTAAAAGAACATACTCAAAAGAACAAAAACTGTATTACAATGGCTATTTGCATTCCCTAATTCTATTTTTAATATGTATTAGAGCATATTACTACAACAGCAGTTTTGAACTTTTTACATTCGGCTATATGACACTATAACATATAGTCTATAATTTATAATTATTGCTATTTCTGAGTCCTAAGTTGTATCCTATTTTTATAAAACAGCTACAACAATATCACAATTTAATGAAAACCCTGTGCCTGCTTGAGTTGCCATGGAGCTCTTTGTCATGCTCAACAGACTTAGAAGTCAACACAGCAGACAAATGACTCCCTTGTTCTGTAACATTAAGTTCACTATGCAATGTTCCTCTGATGACCCACTGGACCAACAGTCACACATTAAACAGCAGGTCTGTTCTGTAAATACTGTAATTTCTCCTTAAGTCTGTAACATCTAAAACACCTTTACCTTGGAAGTGCCTAAAGAAAATATACAGGAAAGAGAAAGAAATGGAATGAGAAGATGAAACGGATTTCTCACAGGCCTTTAAACCACATAGGCCAGATTAATGGAAAGAGAAAATGACAAAGAGAAAAGGTTGTATCCTGGTCTAAAACAGGATACAACCAACAAATGTAAGCTAAGCCAGTTTAAACAGGCTTTAGATGGGAGCACAACTTAGGTTACAACCAGAGGCTGAGCAGAAAGGAGGGCTCATCGGTAAGGACACTACACTACTTCGTTCACTATCACTTCTCCTTTCCATCAAAGGCAGTATCACTTCACGGAGCCAAGCAACACAAACTGCAGCCATGTTAGTCTAATGCAACAGCTCTGCAGTTAGCTCACCAACAAATTAGGAATTTCATTGATATGTCTTGAAAAGGACTATGGAACTATGACTCATATATCCCCTCATCTAAATGATATCTCGCTACAGTATCTTGGAAGTTTAAGGAAAACATTCTGAGACATAAAATCAATACATAGAAAAATTATAAAGTATGTACTTCCCCCACTAATAGATGTTTAAAAAGTAAATTTTCATTAAAGTACATGCTGTGTTCCCACAGTGGCTATACACTAGCAGAACCAAGTTCATGTTCGTCTTTTCCAGCAGATGGCGCTAACCTCCACACGTGCACAATGTGTGCACTGAGAAGCTATGGCCTGAAGATGACCTTGCTATGATTCCACAAATCATTTGACTCTCAAAGTCAGAAGACGCAAAGACAAAAAATGTTATTCAAAATGTTAAAAGTTCTAGTATTAAAATAGTAAAATATACTGTCTGGAATACAGTATATTTCATATTTCATATTTAAGAAATTGTAAGGACAACATTCTTATTTCCAGAGTTCAAAGCAACTAACTCACTGCTTATGCACCAACTAAAAGATGAAATCCAGGCTCCAGCTACCCAGTATCTCTGACACCCTGGACAAGTCATTAGTCTCTCGATGCCTCACCATCACGACAGTTGGAAATAAAACAGTACTGACCTCACAGGATCTATCAAAGAGCCAAAATTAGAGACCAGATAGAAGAGCTAGTGATGTGCACCAAGGATATACTGAGCAAAAAGTAAGACTGAATGACAAGTAAGGGAAGACTGGCATAGCGGCCATGGAACTCACACTGTAACACCCTGCAATCCTGGGGCTGGGGGTGAGGGGGGGCACCTCTGAAAAATCCCTCACTGGCCGAAGATGGGACAACTAGTTTGAAATAGTGACTAGTTTGAAATAGTGACAAAAATTGAAATCTGTAGAATGTCACAAAACATCCTTTTAAAAAAAAACTGATCGCCTTTGCAGGATGAACCAAACAACTGTCCTGCTTTTCTATGGGTAGTACACAGGGCTCACCAAAAACCAGGAAAGTCAAAAGTGACTATCCACACACCTGTGTGTATGCTGAAAAAATACACTCTCTCATTCTCTGCTTCTAACATAGCTTTTAAGTGTAAAGGCATACATTTGTAGGCATGAAATTGTATTTCATTTGCTGAATTAACTAATCAAGATCTATAGTTCCTCCCTACTCAAATCCAGAAATCACAGCACACAGCAACCCATTCTTTTGTAAGTATATCTACTGAGTCTGAACAGGACTTGATGGCACAGTAAACAAAGTGAAATTCCTGCTCTGATTAGTATGTTTTTCTAGACGTGAGACAAAACAGCACTTTTAAAATGCCATCTGATGGTACCTCCGATGTTAACGAACCTGAGAAGAAAAGTTGAGGATGATATGATAGTCACAGCCGGCTTCTGTGATGAAAGGTAACATAAACTGTTTGGGGTTAGAAATGAAGCAAAAACAGTCACTGAGGTAGATAGAGGATCTCATGTGTGCAAACAGCAAGTTCAAGTACGGCTAGAATGAAGTAAGAGGAACAGAGCAAATAGAACAGAGAGGAGTCTTTGTAGGGATGATAGGTCATAGGAATATTCAGGATTTTGTTCCTAATTGCTGCACACAGAAGTGGCATACTGTAATGTATTCTAAGATGATCATTTCATCATTATGTAATGAACAGATTTAGGGGGTAATAAAAGAAGAAACTAGCCTACATAGGGAATTACCAAAAGGCCCAGACATGGAAGGGTCCATGTGTAAGACTAGAAGCAGGAGAGATAGAAACCACAGTCTGGCTGCCTCAGTTCTTAAATAGTTTCAGCATTTAAACAACATTTAAAATCCAAAATGTCAGTACCTTTTTAAAATGATATAGAAATGGAAGTCCTTTGGAAGTATTTTTGGGAGGTGATACTGTGAGATAATTAAGCAAGTCTGAGATACCATAGCTGTCCCTTGTGGAGGCTTCATGGCCACACTTACTGATTTTAGCCCTGCCATCTACCTAGGTAAGACCACTACATCAGCTGTCCAATGCCTCAGTTTCCTTGCTGTCAAACGGAACTAACAGCTCCCTCTGGTAGGGTGGTGAGCAGAACATATTTGATACAGAAATGGAAGGTGGAATACTGGGGTCTGAAGGATAACGCAGGAGGACCAGGGAGGTTGGGAAGGATGTGGAGTCAGTCAAAACTGAACATGTACGAGAATACCACAAGGAAACATGGCAAATGTAAGCTAATTTTTTTTAATTAACTCAGCAGGTCTTTTCTGGACTCTCAAGGCACCAGGCAAACACATGTTGCACATACCCACATTCAAGCAAAATGCTCATACACATTAAATAAAAATAAATATTTAAAAAAACTAATTACAATAGCTACTTCACAGAATGAGAATAATTTACCTAACATATAATATTAATTCAATACATGCTAGCTATCAAATGAATAATTCCATGCCACCTACTTTCCACAGCTGAAAAATATAACCTATTAAAAGAGGGAAAGCAGCAGCTTTTAGTAAAGTCACTGTGAGACTTAGCTGTTTGAGTTTAAAATAGTATATTCTCTTCTTTCTCATTTGATAGTCATGATCTTAGATACCAGCTACTTGAGAGAGAGAAATGGTTTACAATCATTGTTAGTAAAAAAATCCTAATTCCACATTAACATATTGTATTTAAAAAAAAAACCACACACACACAGTAAACTTGGAATCCTGTTCATATGGAGATGGTTATCCTGCAGAATAATTCAGTGCACTCAGTCATTCCATATCTGACTGCAAAGTTTACATGTTTATTGGATATTTCAAATAGCAATAAATTCATAATTTAACCACAGATTAGAGAGATGAAACATAAGTGTTTCATAGTATTTAAGTAATTTTTTCTCTTAATGTCACCAGTAAAAGATTTTGTCAGGAAAAAATAATTATAATAGCTCAAGACTCATGATTAAATATGACAATTAATTTTAGCTAATCTAATTCAATAATTACTAGCAAGTGAATACTTCCACCTCACCAACTTTCCACAGCCATAGGGGCCTACTACTACTTTATCATTACTACTATTATTTATCATATCCCCGTTTGTAGTTAATAATTTTCAAGTTATTATAATGGATGGAATTTTAATTACTTGTATTATTGGGTGTGTGTGCATGATGGGGGCGGGACCTGCGTGCCACAATGGACATGTGGAAGAGGACTACTTTGTGTAGCTGATTCTCCTTCTGCCTTTATGTGAGTGCTGGGGCTAAACTCAGGCTGCCAGGCTTGTGTGGCAAGCCCCTTTATCCACTGAGCCATCTCACCAGTCCCAGTGAAAACAAATTCTAAGGGGCTGAGCTGTCTCTTCAGCCCCTGAAAAAATTAAAAGACTAGCTTACATTTACCAAGTTTCCTTGTGGTGCTCTCATACGTGCTCATCCCCATCCTTTCCAACCTCCCTCGACCTCCTGCATTACCCTTCAGACCCTAGTATTCCACCTTCCATTTCTGTATCAAATGTGCCCTGTTCACCATCCTACCAGAGGGAGCTGCTGTTACATACCTTTCATCCCAGCTCTTGGGAGGCAGAGGCAAGTGGATCTCTATGAGTCCAAGGGCCGCCTGATCTACATATTGAGTTTCAGAACACCCAGGGCTACACAATGAGACAATCAATATCTATCTACCAACAAACAAATACATAAATAACCAATCCAACAAAGAGGAAGACAAGAAAAACTACATCACTTGGTGTTTTGCTTAGTTTTTCATATTTATGGTTTTTATCATGTCATAATTCTATGTGTTAGAGTTTGTTTCATAAAATAATAATTAGAGCCAATATATGATGTTATCTCACATTAAAATCCCCCCCCCACACACACACATACACATACACAAGCCCTGTAAGAACAAGAGCCACTAGGAGAAGATAAGGAGGGAAAGGGCAAAAGATAAACTTTGCACCTAAAACCTTTGGCACTATTTGGGTTCATTCACTGCACGGCGCTAACCTAAGGACGTAAACACCTTAAAAGGGAAAAGAGCTATTCTGCAACAATCTAGAAAAGAATTCTTAAAACACCTCATAGTGCAACATAAGGGCAACTTACCAGATTGAAGAAGCCAGTAAAATGTTAGTGTGGTTTGTAAGAAACTTCAACGGAGGCTCTGCAAGCAGTATACAGGACAAAATTCCCCCACCAAAGCAATGGAGCATAGCACTCAACCAGCTGGACAGGGGATTATTCCATGCCACTGCCGATGACCCTGAAATGACAGTCAAAATATGCTCTGAGACAGTTGCATATTTATTTACAAGAGAGCTCCAAGAACCCATTGTACTAGAGAAATAAACCACATCTGTAAGGCCTAACACATATTCACAGGTGAAAAATTGGACCAGTCAGATGGCTCAGTGGGTAGAGGAGATTGTACAAGTCTGACAACCTAAGTTCAATCCCCAGAACCATGTGAAGGTGTAAGGAGAGAATCCCACAAAGCTGTTCTCTGACCTCCACACATCACTATAGCGCCCTACTAGCACCAATAACAAAGTAAAGTTTGGAGATTCTTGTTTATTTGAAGAAAGGTTTATAACCTTAAATCCTTTAGAAAACATAAGAGGCTACAGTAAACAAACTAAGCTTTCGACATATCAGGCTGGAAATAGAAGAACAAACTCAAAGGCCAAAGATAATAGGGGAGGGCTAGAGAGAGAGAGACTCAGTGGTTAAGAGCACAACTGCTTCTAATAGCTCATCATGGTTGTCAACTTGACTACATCTGGAATCAACTAAAACCCAAGCAGCTGGCCTGCCTGTGAGGATTTTCTTATTTTTATCATTTGAAGTGGGGGTAATCCACCCTAAGTCTATGCCACACCTGCTAGTGGCAGCCTACATTTGAGGACATAGAAGAAGGAAGATTTGCTCTTTGCCTGTTTGCCTTCAGTCTTGCTGGCAAGTTCATCTACCCTGGTGCTTAGGCATTCTTCTGCTGGCATCAGAACCTACTTCCTGAAGATACCAAGGTAAGCTGAAGATAGCACCTCCAGAGCCCTCAGGACTCCAGCACCAGACTGGGGCTTCTGAGACATCCAGTCTTGTGAACTGAACAACTGGACTACCTGGATCACATCCTGTAAGCCACTCTAATGAATACATCAATATTTTAGAGAACACTGATTAATACAGTGCTTTTGCAATTTTGGTTTCCAGCACCTATATCAAGCAGCTCATCAAGCAGCCTATAACTCCAGTTCCAGAGGATCTGGTATCTTCTTCTGACCTCCATAGGGACAGCACAAATACACACATACACAGAAAAAAATCTTTAAAACTGACATTTCTTAAATTAATGAGAAATACATGTTTTACCACCCTCAAAAATAGTCCTAACAAATGACTTATGAATTGTAGATGAAAACGACTGATGGGAGAAACCTAATAGAAAAAAACTATGAACACCAAGTAATTCTAGATCCAAAGCTCTGAGAACATACTACCATTTCTGTGGTATTTCTTTCAAAATATATAACCTGAATTAATCTAATCTAATCTGGAAAACCCAAATGGAAAGCTATTCTGAAGAAGAAAATCCTGTCCTTTGCCTTTACAATTTATAGATCAAGGAACAAACATAGCATGCATACACAAGTGCACACACACACACACACACACACACTCACACACACACACACTCACAGGACAATGTTGTTTCAAGATTAATTTCTATTACTGTGACAACTAGAGGCAAGAGATGTAGCTTGGCAATGGAGTACCTACCTCACATATATGAGACTCTAGGCCCAATTCCCAGCACTCCCTGTCCCCCAAAAGAGCCAAATGAATGAAATGCCTGTCCTAATTAATACCCTGGAGCAGGGAAGGAAGAATCACCAATGGCCTTATTGGACATCCAACAACTGATGAAATTTACAGACTGAGGCAGATAAATCCATTTTTATTACAGTTGCACTTTCTGATTTTTATAAATATAGTGTGGACAGAAAAATACTATCTTAAATAACTAGAAGTGACTAGGCAAAATGTTTCTAATTTATACTTACACAGCCCTAATTACATGCATAAGTAGAAAATTCAGAGTGGTAAAGTAAGAATAGCAAACACTTGGTAAATATAAGTAAATACTATATAGGAGGTCCTTAACCAATTACTCTGGGATTTGATTTATAAGTCTAAAGCTACCAATAGAAAAATGAATTACAACATAAAAATAGTCCAAACCAGAAAACGAGAAACAATCAGAGAAGTACAAAGTGACTAAGTGGAAAAATAAAAGTATAGCATGCAACCTTTTGTGGAGGAATACTAAACACTGTGTATGTTATTAAGATATAAAAATGGAGTGCACAACAACCAGTGTGTAATAACAAACTATTGGCTGTTGTTATGAGAATGCTGGGATTAAGGAAATTTTAGGTTTTAGTTTTTACTTTTATGTCTTTATTAAGACAGTCTTATGCACTGCACATTGGCTTCAAACGACTCCTCACAAATAGGCACACTTTGGTTAGCCCTAGGGATGAGTTCTCCCAGTGGAAGCTCTATCTAAATGAGATGTAAAGTATGGCACATCACCATCACTACAAATACGTATTCCTGAACTGACTACTTCTGATAAATTCACATTTAGACACATTGGCTTAGTGCCATTCTAACAATTAACTTTATCCTAACTAAGCATTTGCTGGCTTGTAAACAGACCCACATACATCCAGACTTCCCCTTACCAACTAAACAATACAAAGCAAATGTATCAAATGCTTATTTATTTCTGATTATGACTAACAAATAACATTTCCCACAACTTCAATTTCCTCATTGCACTTAAGACATTCTTGATCTTGTGCACAAGTTATAGCTACATTTTAAGACTGAATCTTTGAGATTTTAAAAGAGACCTTAGTAAGGAATGAGTGCTAAAAATATTCATATGGCAGAAAAACACAAAATATTGCAAAGCATTTACACATTAAAAGTATGCTACCATGAGTTTCCCTTACCTAACATTGTCACAATTCAAACAAGGAATTAGGAGTACCCAGTAGCACTCTAACTTGAATAGCAAGTGCATTATGCACTGAGCTATCTCCTGAGCCCCAAATTACTTGATTTTTAACATACTTTTAGGAGAGAGAGAGAGAGAAAATTCTGTCCTACCTTAAGATATTTCAAGCATGCTACCAAACAGAATCATTTTCCAAAAAAATTCTTCTCAAAAGCTATCACACTGAAGCCTAATTGCATTTCAAATACAAGGTGGATAAGACACAAATATCTTACATGAATTTACTATCAGAGACTTCCAGTGAGCTGTGATGGAGAGCTGGAAAAAGACAGAACAGGCAAATGGTGCAACAACTGAATGAGGCCTGCCACCCACAGAGCCTCCTGGACCTGGAAAGGCACAAGAGCAGCTGTCCTGGAAAGATCACTGGTCAGCGACATGAAGACTAGCCCGGTCACATGCCCGTGGTTACATCATGGCTTCCCACCACTTGCTTGTGTTTTGACTCTAACCAACAAAACCAGGAGCTGGCAAACTGTTTATATTGATTAGATGTAAATATTTTAGGCACCATGGGCTACACAGTGTCTGTTCAATCATCCAGTTCCAATTTGGCAAAAAGTAGTCATGGGGGACGTGTAACACAGTGAATATGATACATTCCAATAGGACTGAATTTTACTAAGAATGAAAGCTAAACATAAAATCATAATCCACTTCCATGAACTCACTTAAAGTCACACGTACAAAATCCCCAAATGAATCATTAGACTCTGCCTAAAATGGCTTCACTAACTGGGTGGATTCTTTAGTGTAGGCGCATATGACCTTTCTATCTTGTGTACTCAATCTAAATTTAGGTCAGTAATATGTACCTGTTTTTTTAAGAACCACTGCACTGTAGTTTTATTTTGTTTTGTATTTTTAAATTTTTTCAAACAAGTACATATTGTATATTGAGCTTATTGCCCTCAGGCATCTGTTCCTTCCTCCTCAGGCATCCTCCTCCTGGTAGAACCACTGCACTGTAGACATCGTCACAACAGTTAACAACCAGCTGGCAAGTGGTTGCTATGACATCAGGAAAGGAGCATGAGAATGAGTGGCTTTCTTAAAGCTTCCACTTGAGGTGTTAAGTATTTGTGTGAATACTAATAGGTTTTTATTTTGCTCTTTCCCTTATAGTTCTCCTTTTTTAAAAAACGGAGAGTTTGGAAAAAGACTGATCAGTCACTATAGTGCTTGCTATCAAGGATGGGGCCCTGAGGGGGGGGGGGGGAACCAACAACAACAAAAAAAAAAAAAAAAACAGGGTAATGGATATAAGCCACCAGACTTGCCAAATCAGTGAGTTCCAAGCAAAAGTCAGACTGCCTCAAAAAAGCAGAAGCACCTTGAGAAACCACACCTGATGCTGACCACTGGCTTACACACACACACACACACACACACACACACACACACACACACACACACACACACACACACACACCCGGGGAGGGAGGTGCAAATAAAGGAAGCTTGGGGAAATGACTTAGTTTGCAAAATACCTGCCTTGCAAGCACCAAGAGCTGAGTTTGATCCCTAGAACCAGGTTAAAAAAAAAAAAAAAAAAAAAGTAGGGGTACATATCCCACACTGGTGAGGTGGACACAGGTAGATCCATGGGACATACTTGGTGAGTTCCAGGTCACTGAGAGGCTCAGTCTCAAAAAAAGGGACATAGGTGGAATGTATTCCTGAAGAACAAACTGCCAAGGTCATCCTGTGACCTCCAAATGCACAAACACATGTACATGAACAACACCGGTGGTCTGAACAAGAGTGACCCCAAAACACCCATGTATTTGAGCACTTGATTCTTGGTTGGTGACAATATGTGCAAAGGTTATAAAGCCATGCTGTAGGAAGTACATCAATGAGGCAGGCTTTCAGGTTTTATAGTCTCATTCATTCATTTATTCCCCCCTCCCTTATTTTCTGTGGATGAAAATGTGACCAGACAGCTTCCTGCCCATTATCATGGCTCCCAACCAGGATAGACTCTCTACCCTTGATGTCATGGCTTCCCACCATGACAGACTTCTGACTCTGTTGTCATGGCTTCCCACTGTGATAGACTCTACCCTGACGTCATCATGGCTTCCCACCATTTGCTTTTGTCAGGGTAACAGAACAGTAACTGGGACTCTCACACCAAGCACACACATGCATACATAAACCTTGTATGTGTGATG